AAATAAAATACATACAAAGCAGAACACAGCTAAATGTATCAAAAGTATGTCTATGTAATATTAGAATTTTCTGAGACAATGAATTTTGTTTTTTTTTATTTTTTTCCCCCAGTAAGAGGTTTTTATTTAACAGAAGTTTTGGACAAAAGAAATCGCAATATATCGCCTTGCTTACAGTATCGCAATATCTCGGAATATAGCGTATCGTGACCCCTCTGTTATGATATGTATCGTATCGCCAAATTCTTGCCAATACACAGCCCTAGTAAGCATATAGTAATAGTCAATTGGCTGATGACACAACTCTGTTTTTAAAGAATAGTAATCAAATACATCTAGTATTAAATACAATAGATTGTTTCTCTAAGGCCTCTGGTTTAAAATTAAATATAGACAAATGTGAAATTCTAACTATTCATGATTCTTCCTTACAACTACTGTATAATATGAAAGTGAAGAAAGAAGTGAAATATTGAGGAATAGTTATTTGCAAAGACAAATTGATATCTGAGGAGAGAAATATACGTAACAATATTGTTAAATGCAAATTAATTTTAAATAGATGGTTGCAAAGGGATATGACCATATTTGGAAGGATTCTCCTACTAAAATGGATAGCTTATCCAGATTAATCTACCCAGTGTGTTTCCTGCCGGTAACACCAGATATTATTAGAAATATGAACAAATTAAACTTTAGTTATATATGGAAGAACAAACGTCATTACATTAGACAGGATGATATGGTAAAAAACTATGAAGAAGGTGGTGCTAATGTCATTGATTTTAGCTCCATGAATGAGGTTTTAAAACTTAATTGGCTGAAATCTTTCTGTAATGCTCCACAATGATTCCTAACTTTATTTTTCAAGCAATAGGTGGAATTGATTTTCTTTTAAGATGTGACTTTGATTATAATAAGCTACCCATCAAACTTTCAGATTTTCATCAACAGACTCTACTTTACTGGAAACGTCTGTATAAACATAATTTCACTCCACATTACACTCCAGTATGGAACAATAGGTGTGTTTTAGTAAACAGAAAATCTGTATTTTTAGAGAATTTCTTTTCAAAAGGTATATGGGCAATTTCACATTTCATGAATGATAATGGTGAGGTTTACCGTTTAACAAATTTTTTTAAAACGTAATATTGATCTTGATGTTAAGACTTATAACAAACTGATAAAAGCTACACCAACTCCTCTTAAGTCTATGATCAAGGAAGATGTGCTTTATTCTAAAAC